GGCCAGGCGAAGAGTGGGAAAAAGGAAATTAAGATGCGAGTGAGAGCGATGGGCGACTTCGAGCGAACGAAGGTTTGTGTATGAGTCCCCTTGCGGCAGTTGTACGGTACTGAAGCAGACACGGCACCACACTTCTGACGTCTCGGAAGCCACCCTCCGTCACAGGCACAAATGCCAAGCCCGCAACCTCACGCTGCCCTCACCAAGCCGTCTGCGACAACACCGAGGCATTGCGGCCACGACCCACGTTTCTCCCTTCCGCAACAACTCCCACTGGAAGGGCCATCGCCGTCATGAGCTCTAAGATACACGTCCTGTACGCCAAACCCCCGCAGGCGTCGCCCTTTACGCGCAGAAACTAACCCAGCCGCAGACGCCTCTACAGGCGGTCCCTCAAGCTCGCCCTCGACTGGAGCGTCCACCGATACCTCTGGCGCGGACAGGCCCTGTACATCCGCGAACTCTTCGAGGCCAAGCGCAATGTTACCGAGCCGCGACAGATGAGGGTGCGTCTCCCTATTCCACCACCGCGATTACATCGACATTCTACATATATTACGGCTACACAGAGGACTCTGCTAATGAGTCGCATAGGAACTGATCAAGGAGACGGAAAACCTGCTCGAGAAGTGGAAGCACCCAGACCCTTACCGCCCACCCACGGCTCCTGGAGGTTCGTTGCTGATGCCCGGATACATTTCCGCACCGGCCGCGGATATGAATGTACTGACGGGTGTTGTAGGATCAAAGTACGAGCGCAACCTGCCTTGCCCAATCATCGATCGTGAGTTTACCATCATACATTTTCACTCCATCTGCTGACGGCACACAGCTCCACCGAAGATGATTTTGTAGTCGGGGACATTGGAACAAGCATGGTATCACGTGTACATATTACAGCTATAGTGCGACTCAACAGTAGTTCGCAACAAGAAGCCAAAACCTCCAATTTTTTTTCGTTCAATGAGAGGCTGCTATGAAGGTGTCGAAGCACCAACCTCATGACTGTATTTCGTCTTGAGCGCTAATGAACGATATCTCCAACGAGAGGTCACGTCTGGAACTTCCTCACCCTCCGTACAGTGCTGAGGTATCCCATACCATCTACAAGGTCATCAGTCTCGACCCAAACGGGTAGGTTACCAAGACCTGTCGTCGCTTTCTTCGCTTCTTCCTGCGCATATGCGTCCTCCAAGTAGGCCCACTCCGGCACATCGCAGCATCCGCCTACAAAGATAGTCCTCTCGGGTGACAGATTGTATAGCAGCGACTCGTGCGTCTTTGGTACCAGCACCTCTACAATCTTCTTCACCGGATTGAAACCCCGAATCATCGCCGTGCAGACCAGTCTCGTCGTTCGAGGATCCAACGGCTCTACCATTCCCGTGCGCGCAGACTCGGGGAGATATGGGGTACCAAATTTCTGGGTCCGTGGAAGTGAGCCTGGGACTGCAGCAGATGTGGATTGGATGATGTGCACGATAGATCCGTTCAGTGCATGTAGCATTGAAGATGGCTCGACTGGCTCAGAGTACATTGCGAAAGCCACTAGATCCTGTGCTCGCTCGGGTGTTTCTTCGTAGCAGAATTCCCATGGTACTAGATTTGAAAGCGTGTCTGGCGACCAGCTGAGTACTTGGGCCTGGTTTGAGCTTGTACTGTTCGATTTGAGATGGAAGTAGGATTGCATCTGCATAGCTCTCAACTCATTGTCCGACCTTACAGGTATCGTCTGGGCCTGTTGCGCGGTGATCTCATGGAACGTCCCGTGAAATTGCGATGTTGATGTCTGGAGCAAATGCAGCTTTGCCGCTGTTTCGGTGTCGATAGCTCGCGTATCCCCGAGATGTACTACATTGTGTGGTTTGATTCTCGCCAGCAGCTTTGTTAGGAGGTCGAAATGTGAAGAGTAGAGGAGGTCGGGTATGTCGACGACTAGCGGGAGAGAGGAATCTCGTGAGGAAAGGTTTCTGTATGCCAGGAAGAGATCCTCAACGCAAGACTGATAGTAGTCTGCGTAGTTGGCGAAATTCGCCGGAATTGGATGTGCGCGGATAAGCTCATTCCTCATCGCTTCTTTTGGTCCTGGTACAATAGAGGGGTGTGTGAAACTTGGGCCCAGGTTCAGATCTCTCACTATGGCAAGAGAGACTTGACCTGCGGGGACATGCTCTTGTTTTTGCGGGTCGAGATCCATCCAGCATACAGCTGGTACAGAGGGAGCGGTCTTGCCTAGACCTGTAAGGGAGCGATTTACGAGCCGCCGAGCGAATGTTGATTTGCCTGAGCTAGGTGATCCAGTCACTACGGTGATAGATGGGTTGCTAGCACAGTCCTCGATTGCGCGGAGCCAGTCTTCGGGTGTCACTTCAGGACGTAATGGCCGAGAAAGTGTATCCGCGTCTGAGTTGGTTACCTAACAGAGAAGTTAGATGGCCGTTATGTGTCGAGATCTCAACCTTTCTCACGCATGTACCGTCGCGATCAATGCTGGATAGGTGTATAAGGATGTGGCACTTACAACTCGGAACGAACGATCGGTTGAATCGCTCCAGATACCGTCAAAGAGTGGACTGACGTTTGCGAGCGGGGCAGAAATCTTGCAAGTCTTGAACCTGATGTGATTCGTACCATCTAGTCCGCGAATCTTAGACATGGGGTGCGTGGCCGGCACGCACGCTCGATGAACCTGGTTTTTCTGCCCATCACGACTGACTGTTCCAATGTTGGCACCATTGATGTTGACGGCGCCTCGTAGAACTGTCAAATCAAAAGTACCTATCAGTGTTATAGTCGCGTGTTTGTTCAGGTTGATGGTAATTTCGGTGTCGGTATCTGAGAGGATGTTTTGGGGTTCGTTGCGCCAGTTGCAGAGCTTGACATTCCGATGTACGGGCGCATGGGTCTCCTCTTCATCTGAACCTTCGTGCTCGGATTTTGCAGCATCAAGCAACGGGCTCGTTGGCACAGGAATCTGCTCCAGCGCAACTTGAGGTGTATTCACAACTTGGGCGGCAGCTTCCGCCTTTAGTCGAGCAGCCGCAATCGCAGTGAGTGGCTTTCCGCTGGGAGTACAAACAGCAGCCGTATGTTCCCCTCTCTTCCGTTTCCCTGACATACTGACTTTGGATGTTGACATTGGTGTTCTGCATGCGCCCATCATTTCAAAGATCAAACCAATGATTTTTGGCGCGCCAAGTCCTAATCGGGACTAGTCGCGATGCGGCTCTTCTCCGCCCAGTGCCCGAGCGCGACAGTTCGCGGCGCAAAAAAGTTCCTTACGAACCTCGACTTTCTGGTCGCAAAGAGCATGGCTCCACCCACACTATGAGTGCCATACAGAAAACCAAGGTGCCGCTCCCGGGCTCCAAGCCCAAGTCAAAACCTCAGAACACCCCGTCGAAAGCGCAATTAAGCCAGGAATTTGTCGACAGCGACGATGATTCTCCCAGTGAGACCGCCGCGCAGTCCAAGAAGCCCGAGAAGCCGAAAGCCACCATTGGCATTCACGTGAACGGCGTACCCAAAGCGAAGCCCAAGCCTAGCAAGAAAGACGTACCTGCCCCCAAATCAGCCTCGAAGTCGAAGGTTACGCCTAAGAAGCCTGCGCCCAAGCAAATCGCGACACAGGAGGACGCCGAAGAATTGTCAAGCTCAGAGATAAGCGGCGACGACGCGCCGACTAGGGACATACAGACGAAGCTCCCAGGTAACACGCAGAGCAAGAAAGCTTCGAGCGACAGCGACGACACCAGCAGCGGAGACAGCTCTAGCGACGACTCGGACACCGGCAACGCCCCGCAACCGACCCGCAAGTCGACTCAAACACAGCCGGCACCGCCAGTGCAACCACAATCGCATGCCGTTGATTTCCGACCGACCCAGGCTTACGCACCCCCCAAGGGATTTGCTCCAGTCCCAGTCAACGACAGGACTATCTCCAAGTCGACGGGCTTGTTCGATAATCTAGAAGGAAAGCAGATATGGCATATCACTGCTCCCGCAGGTGTCTCGCTGAAGGACTTGAGCGAGCTCGCCATGGACAAAGCTATGAAAGGGGATGCCGTACTGAGCTACAAGGGTACAGACTACGGTTTCTCTCAGACGGAGAGTGATGAGGGCACCCGGGAGGTTCTATTACCACGGAACAATGGCATGAAACCAGGTTCGTTGATCAACTACTGCTTCTACCGACTATACTGACCTGCCTAGCCCCTACGCGGATATCTCAGACTTTACGCCTACGATCGGTTGTACGACTTCCCCACCTTACCACAAAGCAAGCAGACCAAAACACGGGCTCAGAAGCGGCCGCCTCCATAACGCGATCGACCATTCGTGCACCACGACCACAAGTCACAGGACTGAAGATGCGCTTCCTTCCCACCGGCTTCAGCGGTAACGACGCTGGGACTATCGGTGATTCCGACGACGAGACTGAGGTACCGCAAGCGATTGCTGGGCTTGCGATGCCGAACGGACTTAATTTACCCTCCAAAAAGCCGAAGAGGAAACACGCTGATGTCAATGGTGTTGATGCACCTGAAGTGCCGGCGAAGAAGACCAAAAAGCAACGGGATCCTGAGGAGATCAAGAGGAAAGAGGAAAAGAAAGCAAGGAAAGAGAAGAAGCGTGCAAAGGAAGCGGCTGCGGCCTGAGAAAGGCGCACAACCGCTTGAATTAGCACGGCATTTGCTTACACAGCGTTCTTATACCAAAAAGCATACTCGGTCAGTGCGATCGATATCTTGGCTACCTCTAGGAACCGGTCTACATACTACTGAGCGTACATATGAAGCAGATTATATTTGACGAGAAGCCGTCACAATGAGGATTGTCATTAGCGTTTAGCACGAGTTCATCATAGCATCAGTACCGTCCGGCATGGGGAGGATAGTACTCAATCAGTCAATAAGAGCACGGGTCCATGCCCAAATCAACACTGTCGCTGTCGTTGTCTCGAACTATTTGGCTTGTGGAATTGTTGCTACGTCTAATATCTAGGCAACAGCCTCAACGAACTTAGCAAAATCCAGTGTGCCCAGCCCAGTCGCCGCATCCCATCCCACAGCCGTCTCCCACCCAGGCTCCGCAGTGCGGTTAACAATACAACTACCCGACTGACCCTCGGTCACATCCACAAACACATGCCGCAGCTCATCCGAGTAAAGCAAGGGGTTCAAGAAGCCCAGCGCCGGCTTCCCAGCCCGCATCCTCTTGTCATTTGCAAGCGCAATCATGGCCGCAATCACAGGCGTACTAGCACTCGTCCCTTTCTGCTTGATACCACTCTCATCCATCACGAACCGCGTTCCGATAGCTGAGAGATCGGGTATACCACGTCCACCAGGCGCATACCATCCGTTATGCGACCCGTTCAGTTGCGCGATGTACTTCTTCGCGTCCGCATCCTGCCACGCAGGGCGGTCAAAGTAATCGCTGAACCCGCCTGCACTGAACCACTCTGCGCTAAGCGGGGAGTAGGCAGCCGTTGCGCCGACACTCGTGACGTACGGACAGTCGACGGGGAATGTAGGGCGGAACCTGTTGTTCTTACACTCTGAAGATCCCGTGCCGGCGGAGCCGCCGTCGCCGCTGGCTACGAGGACGGATGTACCCCTCGCTCCGAGCTGCATGAAGAGGTTGCATGCGCGCTTGGCATATGCGCGTGGGATCCATGCTTCGTCGTCGGTGTAGGAGATCGAGAGCACAATAGGTAGCTCTTCACGTTCGAGCAGTGCTTCCAGGAACTCGATCCATGGCTCGTTGGGGCTGGTGTCGAGGGGCACTTCGGTACCGTTCTCGTCGAGATACGGGCCTCTGCCGCCCGTGGAGAAGTAGGTTACGTTCATGGGCTGTACGAAGGGCATGCTGTATTGGATGTCGAGTTGGGCTTCCCCGCCATAGCCGAGCTTGGTGTCGTTGCCGTTCTGGATCGAGGCGACGGTGAAGTTGTAGAGAGGGTTGTAGCCGGTGGTGTTGCGGTAGGGGCTGAAGGTTTCCAGGAAGGAGTGTAGAAGGGGCTCGTTAGGGTATTCTTCCAGGAAGCCGGCGATGCCCAAAGTCACGGGGGAGTCGGAGTCGGGGATCTGATAGTTGATGTTGTACATGGACATGATGCAGTCGGGTGTTGTGTCTCCGCCAGGGCAGGTTTGGGATGCTAGGAGGAATGGTCAGCTGGGTTTGCCCGGTTTGTTGGGTGAGGGTAGCGCAGTTGTTACATACATGAATCCTGTCTTTTCTCGGTGTGTGATTCTAATGATGGCAGTGCTCTCTTGGAAGGCTTGCGGATGAATTGGGTGACGGGGTAGACAAAGTCAACGTAGTCTGCTACCGCACTGGGGAGGCTGTACTTTGTCGCGCGTAGAACAGGACTATCATCGTTGTATTGGTAGCGACCAAAATCAGCGTCGATGAGTTGGCTCGCTGTCTCAACGGTAGTGTTGATTCGTAGCCACGACCCTTCAACTGAGAATGGTACTCTATTGGCATTGAGCCACGAACGCACAGCGACAAGACCGTCTTGGTCTGGCAGCTGAAAGTTGCTTATTTCGTCCTGAGATAAATGTGCCCCATACTTTGTATGCGATGGATCGCTTAGTTTTTGGAGATGTGCTTCCAGCTCCGACATGCGAGGCTGCTTTAGAGCGACTGACAGCGTTAGCGGTAGAGAACCATCGGCTTCACCGACAGACTTCCAGCCGTTTGGAAGCTCTACAACACTCTCATGTGCAACATTGTCTTTTGCCGCCGCTCGAGCAAAGGCGCCCAGAAAGGTCGCGCTCGAGACAAGAGTCGAGCCCAATCTCATGATGCAACCGACGATGAATTGAAATGAAAGAGAAAGAGTTGATGTTTCGGGTTTATACGAGAGTAATTCAGCAGAGCATCGCAGACTTATGAGCGCGTGAGACGAGATAAAAATTGCAACGAAAGCATAATGTAATGAATCATGGCGAGCGTCGACCCTCGACCGTCAACACCTCCAATACGGTGCTATCTGAGGACCTTCCTAGTGTGACGTATCGCAATTTTCTACGACCCCAGCAGGGATAATGTTAAGCATTGACAACAAGCATCGCGAATGACCAAGAGCGGGCAATATTGCTGCGACATGGGTGCGGATAATACTCGTATTTCGAGGTTGCGAGCACCCGGTCAGTCTCGCTGGTATTGCGGGTGCCAGATGGGATGCAGAGGTATTTGCCTAACTCCGGTCGTATTTTTAGACAGTTAGAGCTACAAACGCGATAAAATGTATACTGACGAGGTCCAAGGTGCGGATAAAACAATGTAGAAGGTTAGAGGAAGGTTGGCAGTGTACCTGCCCAAGTGTAGCGTACTTCGTACCTAGGTAGAGCGAACGCGAATGTGGGTCGCTGTTTGACACCAGCAAATTCCCGTACCTGCACGCCGGGGTAGCTGCCGCGACTCCACTGGACGAGTAAACTACCTAGGTAACATCGCGCATGTTCCAATATTAGCACTCTTGCATCAGCTTTGCTGTCGTTCACGACCTTCTTTGTGCTTCTGCGCTTGGACAAGAGGGCAGGATGGCCCTTGTAGCATCGTATCCAAGTCATGCGAATCGCTGACAGCAAGCAGCGCGGACCGAAAACTGTCGGTGCGCCCCTTTCCTGGACCTCACCGCAAGGCAATCCACTCCGCTCCCTGTATGGGACATTCGAAGGCATGAAGCGATAAGATTTTTTTGCGGCTAGCCGTCGTATTTGGCGGGATCAATCGGCATGAAGCGACGGATACGGCCAAATTAGTCTGGCATCAAGCTTGACTTAAGACCTCTTCGCTATCTCTAAAGTCAGATCAATCGTCACCGACCTCACCGACGCTCTTCTTCTCTCTGCTCGTCAAGATGGTTCGATACGCCCTCACAGTCTCCGCGCTCGCCAGCAGTGTCCTGGGTGCTGTGCCTACGGTCAACATACCACTGAACTTCGCGCACGGCGGCGCCCAGAAGATCTCAACGGAGCTCGTCGATCCCTCGACCAACCACACCATCGAAATCGTCGTCGACCAAGGTTCCGAGAACTTCTGGGTGTTCGGCCCCGACGGCATCAGGAACTGGGGATGCACTCGTCTCGGCTGTGCAGGCCCTTGCAACGAGACGGTGCAGCCTTTTTACGACTACCCAAACAGCCCGTCGGCGTCTAAACCAGTACCCTTCCGATCCTCCTACTCGTATGGAGGAAACAGCAAGTTTATCACTGGAGATGTGGCGGTGAACGATACCTTCCAATTCGTTTCCGATGCGGGCCTTTCGTCGACCGTGGACACGGAAGTCGCGATTTCAAGCTACATGACATCGCGCCTCGGCGACAGCAGCGGAAAGTGTACTCCGACGTCTTCGTTTGACGACGGCATCTTGGGTATCTCCCCATACTACCGCAAGCCGACCTGGAACACGACGGGCCCGCACGTGCGCCAAAACCTACTCGAGGCTGGCGCCATCTCCGCGCCCGTACAGAGTCTGTGGTTCGACGAGGCGCCTGAAGGGATCGAAGATACGTTCACCGGCCACGTCGTCTTCGGCGGCGTCGACCACTCCAAATACACGGGCGACCTCGTCAATGTCCCTATGGTTGAGGCTCCGTTCGGTGGTGTGACACTTGGCTACTACGTCAACCCGCCTGTCGTCTCAGTCAATGGAACAGCGTTCAATAACTCGGACGTCATCTCTCCCACCTGCCTCGTCGACTCCGGCACCACACTCGATTACCTACCCGTCAGCTACAGTCAAAATGACCATTTCGCTGCTGCCGCTGGTCTCGTTGTGGACGAGTATGGTGTCATTGGCTGGAACGGTACATGCGAATCTATCCCCAAGGAGACTACTATTGACCTAGAGTTCACTGGTGTCGAGGGCAAGAAGGTCACCGTCAAGATTCCGCTGCGCACTTATGCTCGCTCGGGTGTCAACCCATCTACAGGTATCTGCTCGCTTGCGTTCTCCACTGGTGATTGCCTGTTTGGTGCGCCGTTTGCTACTGCCGCCTTCTTTGCTGCTGATGATGCGGCGGAGATGGTGGCGTTTGCGCAGGGTGGTGTGTCGAAGAAGGGAAGTAAGCCCGATCCCAACTCTATCACTTTGGATCTTGCTTAGCGGGAGTGTCGTATATGAAGTTCGATTCTAGTATATATGAAATTAGCAATGTTAATTTAGGCCTGAATGATCATGGATGATAATTGTCCTTCGCGGTGTCGTGTGTTCTTGAGCCTCGTTATCCCTTGGTCTCAGATGAGACAGCACTCTGAATTTTCTCCTACCAGGTGTTAGTAGTGTCACTTGAGTTTTGATGCTTGATGTGTTTATCACATGCATTCGACGTGTGAAGTTGTAAAGGTATCGTCACTTCAGCCCGGCAGGGGATCCGGTTGGCCCTAAGAACCTGGGCAGGGACCGGCCGCACGGTAGCCCAAGCTGACGAAATCGTACTAGCGCAAACAACGCGCGCTCTGTTGTCACTCAGGCGAGGGCAGGGAATCACCGCAATTGTCGTCAACTTTCACGACACTGCAGCCTGGGCAGTCGCACTATGCTGGTGAGCAGGCCTCGGAAAAACAACATTGCACGCGACTTCCACGCTTATTGCGCGCGCACCCACCCCCATGGCTACCGCAGACAACGCTCCTGCCCGGAGTGCTGAGGCCTCGCAAACAGACGAAGCCGACTCCACACCCTCCACCCCCACGCTGGCACCCGCACACGAAAACCACATGGCGCACGATATCTCAGACGCCGACGACGTCAGGGCTTTCGACCAGCCCGACTCGGACCTGCCGCCGCTACCGACCGAAGAAGACGACAGCATCATACATCATGTCATCGAGGAAGAAGACGCGCACCATGGCGAAAGCGTCTTCGAGGATCGCGAAATGCAGCGCCAATTGATGGACATTGAATCGAGCTTTATTCCCGAGGCGCCTGTCCACGTCGAAGCACCTCAAGGGCAGTCCGGCGTAGACGATACCTACCTGTTCGGGGGCTCGCCAGGAAATTCCCAGCAATCGGCTCGACCCATGGACGACGATGCGGATATGCAAAGAGTCATGGACAATCTGGAGGAGCTGACAAAGCCAAAGAAGAAGCCAAAGAAGCTCGAAGTGCGTAGTGGGAACACACCGACCAAGTCGCAAGCCAGGAACAGCCACCATAGCAACTCCTCCTCCTTTTCCGAGGCCCCGACGCCTGCCGACGCTTACAAGACGCCTGCTGCTAGACGTCTGGATTTCGGAGAAGATGACTCAATGGATGCGAGCACCGCAACATCAGAGGTCGCACCTTCCTCGCCCGCTGCAGAAGCCGCGCATCGAAGCCAATCACGCGCCTCGGCAGGCAGGTCTACAGAACAAGCAGCTGGAGGAGAAGGCGCGCATCAAGCGAATCAAGCAGCAGCAGCAGCTCAGCTAAAAGAGGTGGACGTGCGACGGCCGACATCCAGTGCCTCGACAGTGAAAGCTCCCGATTTCTCACAGATTGAAGAAGGTTCTTCTCTTACGAACGAGAACGACTCTAGCGTGGATAGTTCAGCCATGCCTCCACCACTGGTTCCCGCGAGCGCGCAGAAGATCAGCAAGCGACCCAGCTACCTACAGCACCGAGGTTCGAGCCAGCGGTCATCCGTATCGTCCTTCACCAACCGTTCCGACGCGTCTGGAGATGGCGGAAGCAGTGCAAGTCTCGGCGCAGACTATGCTTTGCAGACTGGCGGTGCTATTCCTCGTTCGAGCGGACCACGGGGGATGAGCCTAGGACTGTCAAGACTGCCAAGCTTGGGTAGCATCGCCTCGTCTATGTCAGGATACAGCGATACCAACCCCTGGGAGAAGGGCCGGAGTATTAGCACAAACTCACTGTCCGCTTTTCTTCAGCCGGACAATAGTCTAGGTCGTCTGGACGAGGAGGTGCCTAACAGTGCGACTCCACCAGAAACACCACGCGCTCCCAGTGTGCAGCCCGCCCCTACCGATACCGTTATTGCTAGACATATCCAGGACATACAAGTACCAGACTCTATTGCGCGCGACTTCCGGGCTAAGCACTCGCGATCGCCAGACAAACGACACATGGGTACTCCCTTCACTCGCAGTAAACACAATCTCACACTAAAGGAGCAGAACAGCAAAATCGACAAGCTCAGCAAAGAGAACTTTGATCTTAAGCTCAAGATCCATTTCCTCGACCAAGCGCTGCAGAACCGGTCTGATGAGGGAGTCAAGGAGATGATCTCGAAGAACGTCCAACTGCAAACTGATCTCGCGACGGAGAAGAAGGAAAGCCAGTCGATGCGCAAGAAGATTCGTGATCTGGAGCGAAGGCTCAAGGCTCAGGAAGAGGGACACGCCACCGCTAGAGATGTTGG